ACAGATTGGGAGACGGCACAAAAGGAGAAGAAGAGCATCGTTGATCTGAGCATCGAGTCGAGTGTCATCTCCTCCCACACTGCCTTTATTGCCGTTGATGAAGAGAGCTCCGAGCCTATCAGCAGCTCCATGAGAGTATACGACATACAACCTTCTATGAGGGGGCACAGATTTGGAAGTTCCATGGTGTCAAAAAGGTGTTTTTGGTCTAGTGGAGCTCCACCTCCACCAGGTGTTGCTCCATCTGGCTCATTTGGTAGTCCAGACCTATTTGCCTCACTATCATTTGGTGGTCCACCTCCACCTTCAAACTGCTTGATTGGTTGAACGCATTTGGTAGTTTTTCTCAAACGTTCTCAGTTGATTCTGTTCGTGGGGCACCTCCACTTCCACCTTCAACTGGCTTGTTTGGTAATGCTCCTCAGGCTCCACCTCCACCTATCCCATTGTTGCTTGGGGCAGCATACCCTCCACCCCTACCACTATCTAAACCGTGTGGTGGTACTGGGCAACAGACAACACCTACTGACACTCTAGCCAGTCTGATTTCTGCTCAGAAGCTCAATGGCTCTTGGGAGCTGACTTCCTTGTTTGCTCAGCTGATTGGAAAGCCACTTGCCGACTTGGAGGCAGCCAGTCCCATTGGAGGGAGGGAGTGGGGCCTACAGTGTGGGCTACCGTTCTGGCAGTGAGTCTACTGCGATCTCGATACTCAGTCAGCAAGATGAGTGGGAGCTGATTGCAATGAAGGCCGAGTCGTGGCTGAAGAAACAGAGCCTCCCAAGTGGCATAACCCTCGAGAAGATATTCGAAGTTGCTAAGAAACAGACTTTTGTGTAGCACTAATCGTAGCTGGATCGTCTGACGTTTAGGTAGCATAATTCTAATCACGTTTGGACGTAGTTTAACAGGATGTTAAACGTGGTTAACGAGGAGAGCCAAGGTACGCGGTGTCACAGCAGGACGTGCGCATGCGCACGGCATGTCCTCGTGGCAAGGTGTCAGTATTGCACGTGTTCAGTCGGCTACAGTTGCTGTCACTGCGCCAGTTTTCACGTCTATTGATTCTCCAACCCACCATTCCCTGACCAAAGCTCCTTCTTATAACGATGCATGCATTGAATGCAAAGTTGAACCGTCTCCATCAATCGTGATGTGATAACCAGACAATGGCATGCCACAAGCTGTGGATATGGGTGGACTCACGCCTATCTGCCGGAAAGTGGCTCGCAGCCATGCTCCCCATCATGCTGCATGCCGTGGGAGTGTCCTGAACAGCTAGGCACGTGAGGCTCGCAGTTAGCCCATGACCATGTGATCAGCTTCACGAACACACAATGTTGGGTAGTCATAATCAGAGTTCTATTGTTGCCAGCCTAACCGACGTAGACGGTGCCAAGGAGGTATTCATGGGTACCACGTACAATCTAACTGTTCAGTGACTGTTAGGTTGTACATGTATATGTAATTGCGAAGTACCTGAACAATACACGGCGAAATGTGGTTATAAACCACAAATCAGTTAAGTCTGCACTTGTACTTGTGGGTGTGAAACTTAGCCAAAACTCCAGTATTGCAGAAAAGTATCCCAGCAAAGCCTGTTTTTAGATAATGAATCCAGCTCTCCTGTACAGAAGTCAACACCACCACGCCAGAGACAATTCCAATTCAACAGGCAAGGTATGCCAACTTATGAACATCTGCACCCATTCTCATTCATATTCTGATGGTTTTTCAGTGTACACCCACCCATACGAGAGATGTTGCAAAGAAAAATCAGTATTGTATGTCGTATGTGATACAATACAATACCAGGCACGTTACGTGGGTTATGGTAGGGGTATAATTGCACAAAGCATACCTTGTGACCTTGTGCAGATGACACCAGGTCAGGTGGAAAGGTACACAGAGACAGTGAAACATTGCCCAATGGAATGTCAGGGCCCAACTGACATAATTGTAGCCCCCAGGAGGGCCGGTTGTGGTTTGTGACTGTTGTAGACGCAACGCATTGTACCCATGTTTGCCAAGTACTTTGTATTGGCATTACATGGCTGCAATGTAGCTAAGCAGATAATCCTGCAGTTATGCTATTGAATATACCGTGACAGCATCACTCATGATTGATATGGAGTAGATAATTAGGTACATAACATCATTAGTATATAACAAGACACCACACCCTCAGAGTAAACTTGTGCAGTCAGTGAGCACCACAACAACGCAGGTAGGCAGTCGCTAGACTTGCCTGTCGTGTGTGGAACTACTCCTCTTCGCCTTGTTCTCATCACAGGGCATTCTCAACACAAATACACAGACAGGAAAGACAACAGAAAGAATGGAAGAGAACACAACACACACACAGCGAGTCCTACCAGACCAGGAGCCCATTCAGATTGAAAACTTAAAAAGTAACACACGCGGCCTTCCCATAGAGAGGCGTTCATATGAGTAAGTCATTCCACCCAGAGGCTGCAACTGGCTGGTCTAACACGCTGCACGCGTAAACTGCGCATGCGTACGAATCTCGCGAGGCACGAGCGCAGCGCCGTGGAGCGAGCGCAAGCTAGCCCCGCGCCAGATACAAGCGATGCGGAATAGTTTGGGGCTTGTTATTGCCAACAGGCTGTTCGACAAGATGAACCACTCACTTTTTACACCAGACGACAATGCAAGTACTCCCGAGGAAGTTCCGCCGCAAGTATACATTATTTCTCTGTTCAGTTTCCTCTCATTGCTCGGCTGCCTGGCGACGCTTTTGACGTATTCTCTGTTCAAGGAGCTGCGCTCTATTCCGGGAAAGATTCTCATGAACCTCGCATCGGCGATTCTGGTTGCATCTGTCCTTACGATCGTCTCCCTCTTCGTCGTGAACGAAAGGCCGCTCTGCAAGACGGTAGCAATACTGCTGCACTATACCTACACCTGCGAGTTTTTCTGGATGAGCGTACTGACTTTTGAGATAGCTCGGGCACTCCGCCAAGCAAATTCGGCGCCGATGAAACACTCCAAGCGGACAGAGAGGCAGAGGTTGTTGGTATACTTCATCATTGGCTGGGGTCTTCCATTGCTTGTCATACTGTGCACTGTTGTTGTGAACTTCGTGCATAATGAATACGTTCGCTACGGTGGACCAGAGAAATGCAGTGGCGGAGAAAATTATTGTCCTAACAGATACTGCTTTATAACAGAAGGAAAGGGCTATATTTTATCACTTTACGTTCCAGTTGGAATATCACTTTTGTTCAACTTTGCAGCGGCTTCATTCATTGGCTACGTGACAATCAAGGCCGCTGTGAACCGCTACAAACTCAACATAAATTCCACGACTTCCTACATCCGAGTGCTCATTTCAGTCATCTGCATCATTGGAGTGGTGTATGTCCTCAGTGCAGTATTCATCACACTCAGCAGAGTGCACAGTTGGGCCATCTACGTGTTTGCAGCTTTGGGAACAGCCCAGGGCTTCATTGTGAGTGCTGTTTTCATACTCAAGAGGCATATTGCAGAAAAGTACAAGGCCCGATGTGTTACTCTGCTTGAAAAGTTTAATTGCATTGAGAGTGAACCGAAGCACAGCAGCCCGCAAGAAACTAATCTTCAAGGAACAAATGGGACGGCCCTTCAGTCCAGAGAGCATCACAGAGTGTGACACAGTGGACAGTTGTTTAGCAGACAGTTTGGGTGCCTAGCTTTTCATTCTGCACATGGAAGCATTGATCTGCAAAACAATTCACGTTCAGTATGCAAAATGCTTGTTTTCACAAAAGGCCCAACTGACTCGATTTGAGGCTTAGGGCCATAAGAGTTGAAAATGTGTGTCTTTGCAGTGCCAACCCACCAGCGCATTATTGTATATGAGCGTTACTGTGGTGCCCTGAGTGCGTACTCCATGCATATACGGAAACTCAGCCATGCAATTTATCTCAAATCAGTGAGCGTAATACTTGCGTTGGTGCTTAACTTAGCCAAAGGGTGATCATAAACTCAGTATTGCAGAAAAATACAAGTCTGCTACCGTACTGAGAGCGAATACCTATGCCAAGTGAGTATAGCTACCACTTGCAGACACGTAAAGCTGCAAGGTGAAAGTATACTCAGGTATTACATGTATACCAAGAGATGACTAAAGTTCTACGTCACAATACAACAGGCAAAATGTGGTCGGGGTATCAATTTTGGATGCCTGAAGGCAGATTATGTTTTACATATATTATGTCTCTGTGGAGATGGCATCATCGATACCATGTCAGGGGAATCAATAACAAACATGAGGACCAGATGTGCTACAAAAAACGTTTTTCGGTTGAAAGGTTAAAATGATGTATACACAAAAACTGTGGCATTACACAATGGAGTGTCTTGGGCCCAACTGACATAATTTAGGTGCCAGAAGGGCTGGCTGTGGGTGTCTCTACATGAGTTTAGTACGCTGAACATATGCTAAGGGCTTTGAATTTGCATTACTGTGGTGACCTAATAGCTCCATGTAAAACCGCATAATTACCTAAATAATTGTGCAGTTAGCTACACACTATTGAGTATACCATGGTAGTACATTACACACAGATACAGGTTTAGCCAACAAGACACCACACCCTCAGAGTAAATGTCAGTAAACCCCACACAACAACACAGGCAGACTTACCAGTGTTCAAATCTTATGACACACTACACCATAGATATTGTACAGACAGGGAGAACACAACATGACCCAGCGAGTCCTACCAGACCAGGAGCCCATTCGTTCATATAATGGGAAGCTCTGCCGTCGTCCAGCGGCACAAAATCGCGCGCGTAGCAAAACGCGCATGCGCACGCATCTTCGGTGTGGGGGGCGGGACGGCCGTGTACCATGGAACAGTACCATATCTTGGAGAGGATTGGAGAGGGAGCCCATGGAGTTGTATTGAAAGCTAAACACCTACAGGTATACAGAAATGTCAAATACCACGAAATTAACTATTTTTGGGCAACAGACTGGTGAAGTAGTGGCACTGAAGAAAATCCCACTCAAGAAACTGGACGATGGTATTCCAAATTCGGTTTTGAGGTATGTTTTTTTTACTAGTTTGATGATGTGTTTTACACTTTCGAATTCTGCAAAGGGAGATGAAAGCACTGCAGGAGTGTGAAGACAGTCATCACGTTAGAAACAGAGCAGCTGTCTTTGTTGTTCGCAAAGCCGTCACTGATTGATTTTTCAGGTTGTTCGTTTGAGGGATGTTTTTCCACATGGCCCTGGATTCGTGTTGGTGTTTGACTACATGCTCTCTGACTTGGCCAAGGTGATCAGAAACTCGGAGCATCCCCTGACAGAAGCAAGTTCTTCCTCCCTCTATCCTTCATCAGACCTTGTATATATATTAATATGACTCTTAGGCTCAAGTCAAGACCTACATGATCCAGTTGTTGAAGGGAGTGACATACCTGCATAGTCACTCTATTATGCACAGAGTATGTATACACATAATACAGTAAGCACAGTGCCGTGTGTCAATGATTGGTTATTTGTAGGACCTAAAGCCAGCAAATTTGCTTATAAGTCCCATGGGACATTTGAAGATTGCAGACTTTGGGTTGGCCAGGGTGTTCTCTGGGGAGAGTGGGCGACTCTACAGTCACCAAGTTGCCACAAGGTGTGTCTCAATGTATTATTATAGTAGCTTCAAGTGTGTTGTAAACATCCGGTTAATGTGCAGGTGGTACAGGGCTCCAGAGTTATTGTACGGGGCAAAAGAGTATGATCTTGGAGTGGACATGTGGTACGGGCCTCAAGTGTCGTGACACATGTAATTTAATGGGTGGGGTCACACAAGTGTAATGTATACATGGTTTGGTTTCTCTGTTACTCTCTGGAATGTGTGCTCAATGTGAGAATTGCCTGAAAATGTGGCTCTTTGCATGCAGTACTCTCTGCTATACATAATGAACCAGATGATTTGGACGGCACAAAATAGGAGTAGTGGAATGCCCTATATACATGGCTCGACCTTTTGAGACTAATTGGATTCTAAAGGCCCACACAACGCTTTGCTGCGTAAGACAAGTCTCATGCAATGCCAATGTCAAAGGTGCATGCAACAACAATTTTAAGTGCACTTTGTTCGCAATGCATTCTTTAGGGCAGTTGGCTGTATCTTTGGTGAGCTTTTGAACAACTCTCCTCTATTTCCGGTAAGCATTATATATAACGTCGGAAGTTTCACTTGCCTTTTGGCACTGGATCGATAACTATTATCAAATGCATGTATAATATTCGAGGGGGAAAATGATATAGACCAGTTGTGCCAAGTGCTGAGGGTTCTAGGGACACCATCAGAAGAATCCTGGCCGGTATGTAGAAAGACACCAGTGTGTACACACACCTCTATACTTTGCTGCTCATTACTCCAGGGAATGTCAGAGCTTCCAGACTTCAAGAAGATATTGTTTCCCGAAATCCCTCCCATTCCTCTTGAAGTGGTTGTTCCTGATGCACCATCTCAGGTATGGAACTGTAGGGTGCAATACATATTCCTAAAACTCTATACCATGAAAGCATTGGTGTATACGTTCCATGAAATTAGTACAGTATCTTTTTTCACTCAGGCTATTGATCTCTTGAGCAAGTTTCTTGTGTACTATTCAAAGAAGCGCACAACTGCTAGCAATGTAAGATACTAAAATGTGAGTGAAATCTTGGTTGATAAACAACTTACTTTCAGGCGTTGGTTCATCTCTACTTTTTCTCTCCACCCCTCCCTGCTCACTATTCGGAACTTCAAATACCATCAAGACACAACCCAACTAGTAGTATGGAAGACTTTGACCCACTAGCACCTATAGAAAGTTTCCTGGTCAAGCCAGACATCATAGCAGCTTGCTCAGAGCGCCTCAGCTTTAGGTGAACAGTGCATATTGAGTATGAGGTTTTTTGCAACTTGCTGCCGTGTGAGGTTCTATGGTGTAACGGTTAGCACCTGGGACTCTGAATCCCAAGATCCGAGTTCGAATCTCGGTAGAACCTTCCTTTTTCACAACCTTTTGTTGATTGCATGGGTACCATAATACGTACTGATACTTTTTTCTGCAATACCTACCTACAATCTGTATTTTTTCCCTCCTGACATAAACCCGATAATGTTTTTCCCTTCGTTGGCGTTGTCATGCAATTATCGTTACGTAACACGGTCTCGCGCGCAAGCGCAATCGCGAGCATGTCACATGATAAGAAGGACCAATCAGCTTACGCCATCTGGCGAGCGCGACGAAACAAAAACAGTTGAAAGCCTCTTTCCAGCATCAAAGTGAAATCTCGACGTCCCAAGTCAGCGAAACGGAATGGAGCTACTCCGACCACTTCTTACCTTAGCTGTCGTCTCTCTGTTCGTGGTGGATGTAAGAGCGAAGCTGAAAGGCGACGAATGTGAAGGTATGTTGCTACCATTTCACTATAAAATGCGGACCCAAACCGTGTATTTTTCCGTATAGTATGTATCAACTTCCTGAACAAGTTAGTGGGGAAAATGAAAGAGCGAGAGGTGACCGTGAGCGACCACGAAATCGTTGAGGTGGAACTGATGAAGGCTTGTAAAGATGCCAAGGGAAAAGATTCAAGCTTTGTAAGTTTGTTGATACCTCCATTACCAGAATGTGTGTGCTAGGTGTGAGATGCCTGTGTCGCCACAATACTTCCTCTTCCTCCTGTATACTTCCTCACAGGGGGAAGTTGTTAATAATAAAACAGCATATTGTAACTTGTGTGCTCACCAGCAAAAACCATTTACACTTTCAGTGCTACTACATTGGAGCTGCTGATATATCAGCCACTAAGCTGGTGAGGGAAGTGACCAAACCGCTCGCCTTTGGCAAACCCACGGAGAAGATCTGTGAAGCTCTCAAGAAGAAGGACGAGCAGATCTGCGAGCTGAGATATGGTAGGAACCAACCATTGAGCTATATTATTGGCGAGCGGGAGCGAGCCAACCTAGTGGTTCAAACGCCACAATATTTCTATTATCCACGACTGTATGTCGTCCAACTGCGCATGCATCAGGATTACGCTTTTTTCATTTTTACACACCTCATGTCATTGCCGAATCTAGTCAGCGAGAGACTATCGTCCATTCAGCTCAGCGGCAATCGCTGCGCTCTTCGATGCCTGACCGAGGCTGTACTTCTTTCCAATCTTCATAGTTCCAAGTTGCAAGTTGTAAATAGCTAGTGCAGATCGACAGTCATTGTGTGCTCACTCCCGCTCGCCAAAAAATGCCTTGCATTCGCCATCTAGTATAATATAATTATACTTATGCTTTCAATAATTATTTACTGTAGCATGACAAACTACACTAGTCTTAGAACTCCTAATCTGGGCACTAATGGGACTTAAGAGTGTCTGTCTGAGTGGCGTGTCCTTGTTTCAGGGGTTAAGCAAGAAACTGCTCTTGGGGAAGGAAAAGTTGTCCCAGTCACATAGTTGTTCTTATTTAGGGGCGTCCTTAGAGAGAGGTTCCACTATAATAATTCTTGTGTATGTTTTGTCAACGGACTATATACTCCTTATAGTAGCATAACCTACTATAATAGTCCTTTAAACATGTTTTTTAACTTTCAGAGAAGCACATCGACCTGAACAGTGTGGACCTCAAGACGCTAAAGGTGAAGGACCTGAAGAAGATACTCAACCAGTGGGGAGAGGATTGCAGAGGCTGTGCCGAGAAGTCAGACTTTGTCAACCGCATCAACGACCTCAAACCACTTCACGTAGAGCTATGAGCTCGTTTCTTCCATCTGTAGTCTTATTTGATATAATTATTTTAGCCATGTATTTAAACACCTCCGATTTGTAAACATCCACTGTCTTCAAGAAAAATCAGTTGTAATAACCAGGTATTAAATTTCTGACCATTATTTTGTACACGGAATCTCAGTTTTGATTTGGCATGATGGAACAAATTTCACGTGACAAGTAGACCGCAGCATAAAAAGCAATGATAGTACATACAAAAGTGCAAAGAGATAGGAGACAGTAACAATCCTCGCACCATTTACCAGCATACACCCGAAGAGACAAACATGTGTACATGTCCATAAATACAACCCTCATAATAACCTGAATAGCCTATTGTACACCCTCTTCAGTACAAGTACCCACAGCAGTTGGCCTCCCCACAGAGGCACTCCACCTGACCCTGTTCGTCTTGGTTCATCTGGTAGTCAAAGGTCAGCTCCTGACCTGTGCTGATGTTCTGTGTGGAGAAGAAGGCGATGCGAGGGAGCCTCTCGTCCAGCGTGTCGATCCAGACTGAGTAGACCCTCAGGTTTGGATTGCACTGGAGGGGTGACACACAAACACATTACATTGTGTACGCCAAAACCACTACAAAGTATCGAAACTTTCCTCTACTACTGTATATACAAAGAGTTTGTTGAGCAATAATAGAGGAATGTAGGCCCCTGGCTGACTTGACTTACAGAGTGATTGAAGAAGTGGGAGATGTTGCCGTAGTGTGCAGCGTCTATGGTGAAAGCGTTGTCATCGCAGTTGAAGTCGAGGTCAAAGAGATAGGTCCTGCCCTCCTGGTCGTAGAGCTCCCCGCGCCTCTCCGCCTCCTCCGTCGTAACCACCTCCCCTACGTACTCCGTCACAAATGTGTTTGGTTTTATCGGCTCCATTGTCTTGACTCCCCAACCCCGACCGTTGGGCGTGCGGAAGATGCACATGTTGATCTTTCGTCCACATTGCACGATGCGGTTGATGCAGTCCTGCGGACAGTTGCAGCGAGAGTTGCATTCGTAGATTGGGTTCCCCGGCGGTAACCTGATCTTCCCGGCGAGGGAGTAAGGGAACTCTGCTCCGGCCATTTTCGGACAGCAGTACTGGTTCTTGGGGCTGCACTTTTTCCCCATGAGGTAGCAGTTGCATCCGCACACCGTGCTCCCGACTTCGGAACTCTGCGGGTTCGGGACCCCTTCTCCGTACAGGTTGGATGTGATGTACTTGAAGGTCCACGGGATTGGAGCCTGGTCGATGCGATTCTCTACGAGAATGAAGGCCTCGTTTTTCCGGCATTGCTGGTTGAGCATGAACTGCCACTCCAGGAGCTCCTGTTGATACTCCGGGTTAGGGATCAGTGGCTGGGAGTACACTGGGTCTAACGACACTGGGGCTGTAGTCGGAGAAGATAGTTGGACTGTTTGTAGGAGAGAAGGTTGGGGCGGTGGCGTGGGGGGCAAACTAAACGTCGGAGTGAGGTAGGCCTTTGCATTCAAGGAAGAGGTGGTGGAGGAGACTTCAGCGTGACCTCCACTGCCAGAGGTGCTAGAGCCACTCGAAGGGACTAGCTCTAGTGAGGGAGTGGGTGAGGAGGAATGTGCTCGTTTCCGCAGCCGTCTCTTGGACCAGGACTCGCTGTCAGACGAGTTCTCGGTGGCAGTGGACTGGGTGGTCGAGGTGGGAGTGTGGCAAACGATCCCATTCTTTTTCTTCAAGACAACCTTCTTGCCGTTTGGTGTGCGGCCGTTCAAGACGACCATCTTGCCGTTTGCAGCGTGGGTGTTCAAGACCGCTTTCTTGCTGTTCATGGGGTGGCCGCCCAAGACCAGTTTCTTGCCATTTGCAGCATGGCCGTTCAAGACCACATTCTTGTCGTTTGCAGTGTGGCCATTGGGTAGTAGGCTCTTCCCGATTGTCTCCACTCTGTTGTTCCGCTGAAGCACCGAGTGGTTGAGCCCGTTCAACGTGCGCTTTATCCGCGAAGAGCAGACGTTTATCTGAACCCTTGAGTGGCCTTTTACCATGGGAGGCTGTTCCAAGGAAGGAAGCGGCGTCTCTCCAGACAGACTACTACGGTTCCCAGAGACACTGCTGTCCTCGTCCGAATCGAGATGCAGTCGGAATGAATCGTCGACAGAGAAACTACCGTCTGACACCAGCGAGCTCGAGTCGTCGCAACTCGACAAGAGAGGGCTCACGGATGGAGAGGTGAGGACAAAGTCGCCCCCACTCCTCCCCTTCCTCTGCTTCAGTATGTCCTTCACCTTTTGTCTGCTTCGCGAGGAAGCTGATTTCGGTCGCTGTTGCTGTTCCCTGAATCTCACTGACGAGGATGGTAGGAGTTTCGGTGTTGAAAAATGGGCACCCTTCTTGACCCTGTCTTTTTCAGTGGCCCGTCTGTGTTGATGAGAAAAAGACGACAGTCTCCTGCTGGTTCCGCTTGTCGGCTCGGACAAATGCAGCCGTAGCGTGCCCTTTGAGTGCAGGGTATTACTCACGAGAATGTCATTTGCCGGCAATGAGCTATCGTCAGGCTGGTTCGACCTCCCCGGCTTTGCTTTCGAACGGGCCCTAACTTTCGAGGAGCCGGACATCGAGTGAACCTTTGCTTTTGTCGAAGAAGAAGAGGATGCTGAATTGGGGGGAACTACTGGAGTTGCGGTAGTGTGGGAGAGATTGGAGGGGTTTACGAATACATTCTTGCCGAGGTAGGACTGGAGGAGGTCCCAGCAGTTCATGCCGCTGGCCAGCACCCACGAGTTCTCTTCCTCCCCATACCCCTTCCACTTGAGAAGGTACTCGTACTCTTGGTACTCTTCAGACTGCAAACATACAACAACCACTGTATATATAGAATTATCACAAGTGTCCCGAATGCGGTTGGATCGTGTACGTGTGCTAAACCAGAGGATTCGCAGAAATTGCTTTAAGAGATTCTCGAAATATCGTCACGGAAGGGCACTACTGATACTCAAATGGCAGCCAAAGTATTGGCATCGAATCCACACATAGACAAGATATAATACATAATAGTGTCAGTTTTACCCAAATTCATACAAAATTTCCAGTGCCAAAAGTGAATACACATATTTTAAAACTGCATGAACAATGCACAAACCTACAAATGCCACAGATCAAAACACTCTCTATTGCCAATAAAAACCTCCCTTTCTTTTTGTGGGGGTGCATTTGGTTTGTAACAGGGTACTATACACACAACCACAAAGAATCAGGGGGTTGGTACATATAAAACAGTAGTACACCTCACCCACTGGTGGGCTCGAATACAAAGAATCAGGGGGTTGGTACATATAAAACAGTAGTACACCTCACCCACTGGCGGGCTCGAATACAAAGAATCAGGGGGTTGGTACATATAAAACAGTAGTACACCTCACCCACTGGTGGGCTCGAATACAAAGAATCAGGGGGTTGGTACATATAAAACAGTAGTACACCTCACCCACTGGCGGGCTCGAATACAAAGAATCAGGGGGTTGGTACATATAAAACAGTAGTACACCTCACCCACTGGTGGGCTCGAATACAAAGAATCAGGGGGTTGGTACATATAAAACAGTAGTACACCTCACCCACTGGTGGGCTCGAATACAAAGAATCAGGGAGTTGGTACATATAAAACAGTAGTACACCTCACCCACTGGTGGGCTCGAATAGATTCCACCTCATACTCTTCCTCGTCAGTGGCAACCGTCGGTGAGGGAGCTTTGCCTTTTTTAGATGTCGTCTTACTGGAGATTGGCTTTTTACCTTTCCCCTTGTCGAGGCGTGGAGCGGCCATTGAAGATGTGGCTCGCTCCTTAGACAATCCTGTACACATGTATATACACATGGCTCTACACAGAAGAACCACACTCGCAGAGAAATAAGAGCAAAAGGCTATTTAGTTAGCTAGGCCTAAAAGCTTCAACTGGCTCACGAACTACGTATACAGCATACACTTACTGGAGGTAGGCTTTGAGCGAGTAGACTGGGTAGCCATCAGATCCCCTACGCAACCTCTGCGGTGGCAACAGCTGGGGGAAAGACAGAACACGACTGACGACAGTGGGCGGTGGCGATAGCTGGCTCAGCAACATTCCAAGCCCTTAGCACACGATCGAGCACTGGGGTTACAGTACGTACCTCAGCGCTAGAAGCTCGTGCTTTCTTCACGCTGTGTAGGCAGCTCCTTTTCACCGGCAGAGGCGAAGCGGTGACGACTGCAGCAAGCAGCACACGCAGAGCTCTAGCTGGGCCGCCAGCCAGCTCGGGAGGGCGATGAATTTTGGCGCCAAGAGTCACGTGACACAGAAATTTCTGTCAACTCATGTTTTCAAAACAACAAACAGAAACACAGAAAAATGTTTTTTATTTATCCTTTTATGACAGCAATTGGCTTTAGTTTGATGACTTTCTTACTAATACCAGCAGCATGACCTGAAGAAAAACAAACAGGTGTATATACAAATGTTCAAAATAATGTTCAAATGGTTATAGATTCCTCACATGTATTGACAACATCCGTGACATTCTTGTATGACTCTGGAGCCTATAATAATACATGTATATCAATTAAATACTCCAAACTAAAATGATTAACAATGGTACTTTAGGGGAATAAAACATTTGTGTGATTACGCTGCAAAACACCAAAGTTTTTTTCCCCGCAGAAGTTTCCCACTACACGCCACGTGTATGCCATACCTCTTCCATGACAAGCTTGGGTGAAGCCACTCTGATTGATATTCCTTTCTGCTCCAACTTTTCAAGCACGTCTTCGTACCCAAGTGTTCGCCTGCCAATGCAATCGACATACAGCTGTACAATGTTTATCATACAGGTCCGGGTGACACACGTAAAGGGAGGGAAGACAGCGCATGCACGGCCAAACCCAACAAGATCCTGTGGGCATTACCAACTTGCTGGCGTATAGGTGGGGAAAATGGTGGGGGTAACGATTCTATATACTCCACAGGATTCTCCACATGTAGATAAAACACTTCATATTACACTTACCTGGACTTTGCTCTTGAAAGTGCTCGTCCCTGCAATGCAAACAGCACAGTAAAGACAGGCTCACAATATAATAAAATGCTGGAGCCCACAGCACAAAGCATTGCAATTTTCCAGTGTTGCTGATAGCTGATAACGTAATCTTCCGCAAAAAATGGCGTATTATGACTCAAACACAGTGCGATTTTAAAACATTGTTTATGTTCAGAAAATCCCCTCGATTGTGCGTCATGATGGGTTGCTGGCCTGGCAATGTGTGTGTTTAGCGTGAAAATGACTCACTGCTCCGTGGCATGTCGACCCAAACGTCTCCTCAAAACCTTTCTGTGTACCAGTCAGCACGTAGCTGGAAGAGGATGGAAATAAACAGTAAGAGCCCTGTGAAACCAATGAATCTTTGATAGCTACCAAAATATGAACAGTATGCCATCACTAGTGACGTGTGTGTCGTAGTACTTTAATAACAGGAAATGTAGAGACAATTAACGCACATGTCAGCAAAAGATGTGGGTGTGCACGTTCTAAATCTGTATATACACCTGCACGTTCCCATGGTTCCTCCAATGAGAACAGGCTGACCAATGAGCTGGTAGTCCACGGGGATGAGAGGGTGGTGTGGAGGGAAGGCACGGGTGGAGCCCTTCCGATGGACCAGCAAGTTCCTCTGCTTACCATCCAGCATGTGAGATATGAGTCAAGGATATCCCATCGCTAAGAACACACCACATACCAATTGTGTGTTCTGCTTGTGCAGGGACAGTCATTGGAGCTAATGCAATGCTTGGCTACTATACTGTGTTTGACCGAGAGAACAGGGGTTGCATACGGAGGTGTTCAAGGCGGCATGCTATTGCCGCTGCACATTAGTGTTTGTGGAACACATATAATTATACTGTTTCAAGACTTTACAGAATCTAGAGACGATGAGTCCCTCTTTAAGGACACCTCTCTAATAAACACGTTTCATATTTGCAATTTTCACTCCTGAAACAATAACACTTCACAAATGGTTCTGTCTCATTAGTGTCCGGATCAGGGGGCAACTCGATCACATTCCATTCAGTGGGCTTTTCCTCATACCTCTAACATTCCACCTCCAACTAGCAATTCAATTATCGCAGGCCAATGCACTAGTCACACGTCTGCCATAGCTACAGTGCATTAGACGACCAGTTAGTGCAGAGCCTAATCTGGTTAAGTACATCTCAAAGGGAATGCAGTTACGGGAAACACGGTGCTATATAATCGTTATAGAGAGAAAGGTGGATATGTGTTCTTCAAACTTGGCAATGTTGTGTGAGACGTCATAAATGACGTGCATGTCCAAGTCGTCCGGAGTGGATTTGAATGCCTTTGCAAATGCCTGCAACAAAGACGGATAAACCGACAATACTTTGATCACAAACTCAGCCATGATTTCCATTACGAGGAAGGCTTACCAATAGATAGTGAATGTGGCAGTACATAAGGTCTAAAAATAGTGTTACTAAAGATGTACCAGGACCCAGTGCAAGAATGCCAATTATGTTTAAAACATTTCTGCAAATTGCCACATTCCCTTCGAGAATGTGGTTCAGTACATCACGTGCTGCATGGTTCTAGCAAGCGCACACTATTACACCATCCATCATCTTGCGCACCCAGAGAGTGCCGTCCTGTACAAACCTGTCTGGCAAGGAAGGTCATGCTAGAGCGGTTGACCCAGGCGTAGTTGGCAGCAGACGCCATGGCTTTGAGGTAGTTCTGTCCCTCGGTGGACGAGATGCGGGCACAAGCCAGCTGGCGATCGTTGACTTGGATCCTGTCTCTCTTCATCGCTCTCTCCATCTCCACCAGAGCATCTGTATAAATACATGACAACCATACATTAGTGGATGAAACAAGAAAAACTCCAAATAAAGAACACCTCTCCTTAAAAGGGCACTTGGTTCTGCCCTATACCAATAGAATTAGTTGCACACTTTTGCTGTCCATAAGGTGTCCACTATTTAGAGTTATAATTAGACAGCAAGTCCATGATATCCACATCCATTAAAAACCAGGGGGACCTTGCACTGTTAGAGGACCACCCACAAGACGTTTGGTGTAAAATGTTTCTGATGTTGAGACATTTACCCGTTGCCACTTGGTGACCTAGCCCTCGACTGCCACAGTGGATCATCAGACACACCTGTGGACACATTAGAGCACCACACAACTGTGCCTAAGTATATAGAATTCATACAATAGCCGAGTGCAGTAGGGCAAATAATCAAGCAAATTCTTGCCATATTATGTGTGTATGCACATAAGTGTGTCCGTCATGCTCAATTAAGTCACTAATGCTTCGGGTAAAACTGCATAATAAATTTCTGATTTCCGATAGCTCGCAAATCATCAAAGGCATTCATTATAGTATCATACATACGTGTACCTGTCCTTTCTGCTCAACTCCCATTCTGTAAGCAGCGAGGTCGTCGTAAATCTCGTCCACGACTTGTATCTCTGCATAGTGGTTCCCCGCACCCAATGTCCCCAGCTATAATAATACATTCACAACATCAGAACACAACAAGGGGAGGAGGGAAGAGTAGATAGGAAAAAAGAATAAAAAGACTTTTTGACAAACGGTCACCATACCACTGGGGCACACACCCAGAGCAATGAGAGAGGTACAGTACTGTCTTAGAGAAACTCTGTGCCGACTTACTTGTGGTAGGCCTCGTTTCTTTGCTCGTGAGGACACCTTTGACGGATCAGCCTGCAGCATCCGCCCATACTCCTCACAGTGCTCCTGGACGGAAATACAATGACAGAGCTTTAACCCTCACAGTGTCACCACTTCCATATCTAGAATCCTCCTATATACTTTCTGGGCAAAATTTGAAACTTTTTGTGACAACTTTTTGTGTATGTGTCTAGGTTTTGGTAGTTCAAGCTTATCATCAAGGTTTCTACGTAGCTCCTTAATAAATGTGGGACCTATTATTTTACAACGGATCGCATTACAGAACTGTCACTTACGGAATGTTAGAGCTACAGACTAAAGTATTGACTTTATATGCAACCAGGCGGTATATACCTGTATATATGACCGCGTGCAATAGCATTGGAATGTAGTGTCCTATAGAGAGTTTCTTTTATTCAGAGTGTCCAATTGTATATCTGCAGGTTGGCTCCAATAATGTTATTCACCTTGTCCTCGGCCCAGGCGTAGCCCTCTCTGAGACTCCAGTCCATTCCCATCTCTAAGGCTTCCTCGAGGTCACGAGCACCCATAGGAATAATGCCCTTTGACCCCACTCCCACCGGAATGTGATCAAACAAAGACTGTGATATGGGGAGACCAAAGTGGAACTCGTCTAATCTGGACACCAATGGGACAGAAGAATTAGTGAGGTGTCCTTATATCAGAGGTTAACTAACTGTCGTTTCATGCAATTTACAACCCCAGGACACCATCACTAAAGATTCTATTGGTGATGGGACGACAGTCAGCTAGGTGTACGTACAACTTCAGAGAAGAGATATAGGAAATTGTAGACCTACAGTTGACTTCATTTCATACTTTTGTGTCACGATGTTTTGGAGAAGTGCAAAAAGCACACATTGTATTGTAAAACCCGGCTTTTATTTGTGTGCGTGTAGACACACATACGCACACAAACCTGAGCCAGCTGCTCTTTAATAGGAACGACGTCTTTCTCAGTGAGATTTGTCCGGATAAGACGCACTCCACAGTTTATGTCAAATCCAACTCCACCTGCAACACAACAGACACCGCATGGGAATGAGCATATATAGTATAACTATATTCCCTTACTTGTCTTACTTGGAACGGATATTAACCCCAGGAAATAAACGGGTGGCATAAAAGTGTGAGCGTGAAAAATTATCTATCCACGAATGTTTTGTCCACTATTTTGAGGGTGGGGATCATTTTTGATTACACAGATAAGCATGTAAAATACTGCACTTATTATAATTGTAAGTTGTGATCTTCAGAAATGAGAGAATATATATATACCGGGAGAAACGACAGCTAATGGGTCCGCTGTGTCAAACGCCGCCATGTTTCCGATAGCAAAACCGTATCCAGAGTGAATGTCGGGCAGTCCAATAGATTTCTGTACAGACAACACAAAACAATTTATAGCCGGTATGTGGAGGTTTTTGTCTTCGTTACGGCGGTCTCACCCCTACGATCCCTGGCAAGGCAGCCACATTGCCAATCTGTTTCACGGCTGGTAAAAACCCACCAACACCTGAGAAAACCAGTTTGCAGACACTTGCAGCAAATACTCCAGCCAACGTGTTCACCTTGAGATGCACTGTGGTGTCGCAGTTCCTCATACATGAGGCCTTTGAGACTCTCGTTCACATAAAACAGTCCCTCAACCTTCACACAAGGTGTACGATGAAGGGTGGATATGACAGTAATATCCGTTGGAAAGAACTCACTTTCATGTTAGGCACGAAGCCCTTGTTGATCTTGTAGCAGTAGTCGGACATTTTCTCCAGGTAGGAGCATTCTTCCTTGAAAGAGCGAGCCATTCTCCTGCTTCTCCCGAGTACGCAGCTCAGCTCCAGACACGTCGTGTGCTGAATCGGCACTCTTGCGCAATTGTTTCGCCGCTGCTGCTGCGCGCGTGCGTATGAGTTGTGTGCGCACGCGCGTGACAGACCGGACACGATCTGAGATCTGACTAGAAGAGGGCCTAGCCTTGACGGTCTTTTGTTCGGTTTGGGTGGCTGCGTGCATAGTACGACACTGGCAAGCCTGGAAGAGGTACTGCAGAGGTGACTGATCAGCAGTAGCGGTGTGGAACCTTTCTCCTATCTGATCGACTGACTACCTACCACACCGGGCGAGGGTCGCGCGCTTGCGGGTGAGTTTGTAAACTTGTTAACTACCACGTGTTTTTCCTCCTGCCGCGTACCAAGCCCATCGAATTGTCGGCACTGAGACGCCGGCTTGCAAGTATTTTTTTTAGCGTAGAGCTATATACACCCTATGTATGTAGGCTTAGCTACAGTGTGTGTTTGCTTTGCGTGTGTTCCTACCTACGTACGTACACGTAGACGTGTACACAGGTACGTACAGCTGCACTTTCGCCGTCGCGTGAGATCCACGCTCCCTCAATGGCGAGGGGGTCGGAAGGAAGTGAGTTTCCTGTGATGATGTGTCTTACTAAGAATATTCTGAGGGGTTGTTTAGCTAGGCCAGCAGGCACCATACTTATTACGAGTTAGTCTTGGCTCCGCTTTCAAGTATAGTACCGCTAATATTATTCAAAATCTATCTACACAAATAAACAGTCTTCTACTTGTGTATAAATAAGTTAGCTGGTCTGCACCTTCAAACTGTGTCAACGCATTTTACTTGCATTCTTTGGATACTCTTGAAACTGCCAAAGGAAACATTTATACAACCGACGCGTACACATGTACATCTGGCCCCTTGTGTGTATAATGCCTGGAAGTAGTAGTGTTTTCGCATATTGGACCTCATTAGTATGAGAGTTGTATTAGCTATATACATATGCAACCATACAGCACTCTGTACGGTTGTATGCAGACTGTCATCCGCTTACAGATAACGCCTCCTGTCTGCATGTACTGTAATGTGATTATTTGCTAGGTCTCCCTGTATGTGGTTGTACCTTTCATGTAGCTGTACACATACTTGTTCTGTAACAAGATTGTACTTAACCTGGGTGCCACCTTGGAGCTAGAGTTTTGTATACGAGCGGCAGTTGCTTCCTCCTCAACAGCTCACTAACCTACTGTAGTAGGCGAGTGAAGTAAACCGTCTGAATCGTCTGAATCGCACAGTGTTTCTAAATAATGTGGTGCCACCTTGGAGCTAGAGTTTTGTATACAAGCGGCAGTTGCTTCCTCCTCAACAGCTCACTAACCTACTGTAGTAGGCGAGTGAAGTAAACCGTCTGAATCGTCTGAATCGCACAGTGTGTTTCTAAATAATGTGTATCTCGCGCAGGACAGTGCGCTTCACGAACGCCACATAAGATTCTGCTTGCTTCTCAAAGTGTGTTGCGTTCTTTTAGTCTGTTCGTCATTAGGTGTGAATGCCAGGTGGGTAAGTAGCAACACCCGGACGGAAAAAGAGCTGCCCTCGGTGTGACTCAAACCCACGAATCTCTGCTCTCTAGGCAGAGTGCTCTACGGAGTATATACACACTAGGCCACTTCAGCAGGCTGGGCTCTGGCAACTCACAAGACAAATAGATAACTGTGCACATGTGGTGTAACATGTAACACAAAACCATCACGTGCGGTGTATATATACGTACCATTGTGACTGTGTTTATTTACCAGACTTTGGAAAACTGACAGAGTCTCTGACCTAATACATGTGAGCGATGCTGGCATTCTCGTAAGCAATCCCCCCACAATTAGAGGCATGTTATGACATTATCCAATAACGTTTGCATAGAAATGGTATTCGCTAAGGGAGCAATGGAATATGGGGACACATTGACCACTTCCCATATATTAACCCCCACTTAACTGCACTTACAGACACATACGTACTCCAGAAAACGAGGGGGGAAGCGGAGATCATTAAAAAGGGAGCGTAACCCCTTGTTTTCCTACTTCAGTTAAACTCAGGTCTACTTTTACACTGTAAATCTGTCACCAGAATGTCATGCCATGAGATGTCCCAGACTTTGTATGTATATTATTTTAACAGGTCATTTTTACAGTATATATCATCGTCCCCAAGGCCTCCCCGCTTACATGTACTTGTGCTTCCACCTCACGCGATATTTCAGACCAAGCATTCCCTGTTTTGTAACTGTACCTCATGTGCAGAAAATCGTGCCACTTGACGTATGAAAATGTAGGAGGAGAGAGCCTGTGTAAGCTGAGCATTGTTTTAGTAGCTGGTATAGTGAGAGAGGGTAATGTTCCATTGGGCCTCCTTTTCCTCCATGCCAGAGCCTGGAAGCTTTGCCCTTTCTGGGAATTGGAACTAGCTGGGGGAAGGTCCAGTGTACGTGTATGTGTGTGCGATATTTCCTTCACATGCTGCGAGAAATGTGACGCAAGGGTGGGGTGTTTTAAAGATTACGTGGTCAGTCCAAATGTTGCCATTTAGGTCCCAAAAGACCGTACTATGCGTGTGATATGAAAAGAGGGCAATAAGATTGTGTGTACTCATACATTACGTGTATGTATATGTCAACAACGAGGTTGCAAGGCAAAGACTGCACAACTACACCCGGGACAAAAGAACTGCCCTGGTAGAGGGATTCAAACCATGCAACTCTGCAGTCTAGGCAGAGCTCTCTACCAACTGAGATACATACTTACACCAACAGTATGTGGGCATGTATAAGGTTTGCGAGCATGCCCGCCATGATCAAACCTACATGTACTTGGTACGTGTAAGCTGGAAGCCATATCCGTTCTGCTGGGGTGCTACTATATACTAGCCAATACCTATAATGCGTCGTTGCTGAGATAGCATGTACCAAGTAGTAGGAGTATGGTGGAATAACAATGGTGCAGTTTATATAATACATTTGTACCTGAGCACGATAGGACCCGTGTATTGCCGTCCCATAGATCAGCGTGTGGGCAGACCCTATAATCTCTCAGCGTGTAAACACTTTGTGTGCATCCGAGGAATTTGGGCTCCTTCAAACTCCTACGATTCTAAATTGAATCTCTGTTATATACTGCAGTGTTGTTGTTTCAGTGCGACAGAAGCCTGAGGCAATGCCTCTACTTATAAACCGGCAGATTTGCTCCACGCTATATATCAGCCTAGGAGTTACTCTTAGGTCTCACTTGCAAAGGCTTTCTCACGGACAACTAAAAGAGTACCTTCCACAGTGAGATCGAGGTCTGGCCGTCGTGCTATAGAAACAGCCAACAGGGCGAAAGAACTAAAGATTCCGGAGGGCAAGAGGGCCAGAGGGCCGGGGAAGAGTTGACTGCCTCGTGTATATCATTATAATACGCTCACAAGGCGTGCCTTTGAACGGGGAAATTTTGATAGTGGTATGCATAGCACCTGCCCAGTGTGTGTGCAGTACATACAGTATATGCATAGCTCCTGCCCAGTGTGTGTGCAGTACATACAGTATATACATAGCACCTGCCCAGTGTGTGTGCAGTACATACAGTATATACATAGCACCTGCCCAGTGTGTGTGCAGTACATACAGTATATACATAGCACCTGCCCAGTGTGTGTGCAGTACATACAGTATATACATACTCCTGTAATAATTATAGTTGTATAGCGATAAGTTTTCTGAAGGAACAAACTTGATGCATGTAACTGCCTGGTAGTTTAATGGGGGGAAACAAACTTTCATACATGGCTGTCTGGTCCTCTCTCTCTCTCTCTCTCCACAGAGTAACTAGGAGCCAGCCATGCCTCTGTTTGGTAAGAAGCACGATGCTCGAGTGACGGCCAAGTACCACATCAAGGACCTCCTCGGAAAGTAAGCCCATCTAATTCTTCATCTTCAGGTTTTGGTTTTTACGGTCTCTCTGTATGCTGGCATAGTATTCTCCATCCCTCTTCCTCGGTCTCTCTCTCTCTCACTCTCTCTTTCTCTCTCTTCCTCGTCTCTCTCTCTCTCTCTTTCTCTCTCTCTCTCTCTCCCTCTCTCTCTCCTCTTTCACTCGTCTCATCTCTCTCTCTCCTCTCTCCTCTCTCTCTCACTCTCTACTCTGTCTCTCTTCTCTCTCTCCTCTCTCTCTCTCTCTCCTCCTCTCTCTCTCTCTCTCTCTCTCTCTCTCTCTCTCTCTCTCCATCCCTCTTCCTCGTCTCTCTCTCTCTCTTCTCCAACCATTCGTGTCCCTTCATCCTTTCTCCCGCCAATCCTTGTTCTTCTTCTCCCCCTCTCTCTCTCCCTCCCTCCTCCTCTAATAATACACATGTACTTTTGCCGCGTGTGGTTCATCGACAAACGTTTCCCAGCCTCTGGTCTCCATTGTGGTTGGTCATTTTCCTTTCTCCCCCTTCTCCCTCCCTATCTCCTCAATCACCACACACACACACATGCACGCACACACGCGCACACACACACGCACACACACCAGAGGAGCGTTCTCAGAGGTGTTCCGTGTCCAAGACAGAGAGACCTCGGTGCAGTATGCCATCAAGATCATCGACAAGAAAGCACTCAAAGGAAAAGAAGAAGCCCTTCAGAATGAGATTGGAGTATTGCGGAAGTGAGCGCAATTCTTTAATAGTCAACTCTTTATTGACATCATCTGTGTAATTATTGGCAATAAGTTGATCAGGTTCACTTACAAGTTATCACTTCGGCTGAGTTTTTCATTACAGTGCATAAGTCGTGTTTTGTGTGTACATTTTATGTATTGCAGACGCTTGCTTCTCTAGTTAACCCTCGGCGCGCATGCGCAGCGAGGGTTACTGTAGTTGGTCTGTCTGTCTGTCTGTCTGTCTGTCTGTCTGTGTGTACATTAGACACCCGAGGTCGCTTGCACTGTATCCTTCTGAGGATAGCGAGGATGCTAGGCCCCCAGCCGTAGTTAAAGGTCACTCCACGTGCCAAAAGAATGCTTGGCATTTCAATAACAACACTATTGTATGTGCATTGATACTCTTGAACAGAGTGGTCAATAGGTTTCATGTGTGTCTGTCAGTCTGTATAGCTGTGTGTGTGGAACTTGTCTGTCATTTTGGCACATGGACTGCATTTAACAACTGCTAGTTGCCCGTTTAAGACTATCATCCCTCCTTCCCTCCCCTCCCCTCTGTACCCCGCCATAACAAAACTTTATCTCTTCTCTTCCCTTCTCTCTCTCCCTCTCTCTCTCTCCCTCCCTCTCTCTCTCTCTCTCCTCACACACCCCTCTCCTCTCCCATACCAACCACAGAGTGAAGCATCCTAACATTGTAGGTCTGGAGGAGGTCTTTGACGACAAGACCAGGCTCTATCTTGTTATGGAACTGTGAGTTTCTTACGTAAGGCGATTATTAAAAAAATCCCTAATACTTTAGCTCTAGTGTCCTACTACGTACATATAATTTGATACCTAGCGCATTTGAATTCTTCACGAAACTGTCTAAAAACCCTTGTTGTTTCACATGCAAATAGTTCGACTACTCACCCGGTTACACTAGTTCTCAGGAACTATATGTGGTATTTCGTGATTGCAGGATATGTGAAACTGACTCGACTCAGTGCATATTGCTTTCTATTGCCACTTGTGTATATACACAGCCACATGATTTTCTCTAACGTTCGGAGTACTTCTTAACCCCTTAGTGGCAATCGAACTTTCTTTATTCTTTGTAACTGTACGAGAATCACGGTGACCGCTGGGAGCAGTTACACATTAATTAACTCCTTAGTGGCCGTCTAGGCTAGCTTTTTTTAACCCCTTATCCACAGGGTGACGGGGGGAGAGTTGTTTGACCGGATTATCGCCAAGGGCAGCTACACGGAACAGGACGCCAGCGCCCTGATCAACCAGGTCCTGGAGGGTGTCGACTACCTTCACTCTCTCGCAATTGTTCACAGAGACCTGAAGGTGGGCTTTAATTAGAGTTCTCTAATATGGTGGGCTTTATATAGAACATTATAAGCAACATTTTTGTGTACATAGAAATATAATTGTGTGTGTATTTTCCCATGCAACTTTGTTGCGTGTAATTTGTGGTGTGATGCCCATGCAGAACCACATTTCATAGACAATGCTCGGTACAAGAAAGGTGCATAACACTTCAGATTTTTTCTCATGCAGTGAAGTTGCGCTGTACAATGTACGAATGTTTGCCTGTAGTGATTGTATTATACAACATTTGGCCGAGTTCCCAGATGATTACGCACACAACTAGCCCCCCTACCTCCCTTTGAGCTCTGTACCGTCCATATCCATAAGGTGTGCACGTAACACGATCTTCTTCCATGTTTGTTGTGCCTCTGCCTTTCTATGTACTTCTTAGTTTTCACATGTACAGTTATAATATGGGGTTTGTTGCTCAGTTGCCTAGTGTTGGGTGGTAATAGACTGAGCCGTTCCTTCTGTGCTGCCATGTTATGTATGTATTTGGGTAGCCTAGAGAGCAGGGTGTTATGGGCTGAGTCTGCACTTGTATACCATTGTGTGATTCATCTATAATTTCCCTCTCCTTCCCTCTCCCTCCCTCCCTCCCTCTCCCTCCCTCCTTCCCTCCCTCCCTCCTGGTGTTCAGCCCGAGAATCTTCTCTACTACAGGTATGTACACGTATTATGCATAAAGTACTTGCACACCACGCACACAAGAATTTACTTGAGAATATGCCACTTTTTTTAGCTGCATCCATCTCGTGGTCAAATTTCGTGTTACCGACTAATGCACACACTTTTCGCCTCTCTCCCTCCTCCCTCTCTCTCCTCCTCTCCAGCCCGGCGGACGATTCAAAGATCATGATTAGTGATTTCGGTCTCTCGAAGATGGGTATCGAGGACAGCGCCAGTCTCGCCACGGCCTGCGGTACTCCTGGCTACGTGGCTCCGGAGGTACTCAGGAGAAAGCCGTATGGAAAGGCTGTTGACTGCTGGTCCATTGGCGTCATTGCTTACATCCTGTGAGTTACAGCAGAACCCTCGATGAAGGGCACTCCAAATATAGGGAAAGGACTCACTTTGAGTTGTCCCAAACGTTCACTTTTGTATCAATCTAGTACATTTTAAAACTCCAAAGAACGGACAGCAAGTTCAACCATAATTATAATACTTTGAGAGAAAAAAGAAAAGTGAATGTCTTGGACCTCAAAGTGTGTCCTCTTTTCGGAGTGTCCATTATTGGTGGTTCTATATATCTGTACATGGTATGAATAGCTGTTACAAGCTCTCCCTCTCCCTGCAGACTATGTGGCTATCCTCCATTCTACCACGAGAACGACGCGGAGCTGTTTCAGCAGATCATGCGAGGGGACTACGAATTCGACTCGCCGTACTGGGACAACATCTCCGACTCTGCCAAGGACTTCATCCGGCATCTAATGGAGCTCGACCCAAAGACGAGATACACCTGTCGACAGGCCGTCGATCATCCTTGGTCAGTAGGAGAGGGATTTGATATTGCAACGGGTCCCGCTACTATTATATGTGTATCGAAACTCATTATTATGCACCCAGTGATAGACATATAGGGGTAAGGGGCGTCCTTAAATAATTTCTAAGGATGTCTGTATGATGTGTGTAGGGTTTCCATTCAATATATAGTATGTACACATACAACTGCTATACTACTGTATGTATATGCTGCAGGATATCTGGAGGCACAGCTCTGAAGCGAAACATCCACGCGACAGTTAGCAAACAGATTCAGGCTAACTGGGCCAAGGGCAAGTGGAAGGTGAGCACGCTTGTGTCGTGGTTAGGGGGGATGTAGCCGCATAATATATACCAGATATTGTATTGTTTAGTATATACCACAATTTAACGCTCCAAACATTGAGGATGCCATTAGTAAGGCATTATTGTATGGTCCAATGCCTTTTGTGCACCATAATGTCGGTAGATTCATTTATTGTATTCTCAGTGCAATTATGCACCCAAACATCAGTGGATTCTGCATTTATTGTACTCTTGGTGCATTTGACGCACCCAGACATTGTGCTACAAAGGAAGCTACAGTCATCCTGATGATCATTGGACACCCCATCCTGCCTGCATCCTGTTTTTACACAAACACGATACGCCCTGTTTTACTCCAGAGAAATGTTCACTGATTTGTAGCCCGACACTATTAGGAAGGCTAGGTCACGGGGTCGCACTGAACTCTCTGTTTTCGTGCAATACGACCCTGGTATATATCGACTTCCTCCATATAGAATTTCTTGCTTTCGTCTGCTTTCGAGGTATTCCACAGGTACAGTAGTGTTGCAGTTTACTATATGTACTCCTGACTGTATTGCCTCAGCCAGACTGTCATGTAGCTGCTATACACAGCTGGCACACAAAACAACCACACGAACCTTGAACTATACGTACTTGGATAAACGCCCTTCCGGAAATCTGGTGCATGAATAAGTAAGAAGTTCGAAGTTGTCCCATGGTGTGGTAGAAGTTGCTCGGTTTGTCTTTCGCAACGTGTCGCTGCAAGTTTCCTCTGAATGCTTGCAGGTGTGGGTGCACTATATAGCCTAAATCCTCTCTCCCTCCCTCCCTCTCCCTCTCCGTCTCTCTCCCTCCCTCTCTCCCTCTCTCCATCTCCAACAGAGGGCAATCAATGCAGTCGCCGCGGTGAAGAGGTTCGAAGGTCTCACGGCAGATATGGAGAAGGAATCAGGGGCCATGCCCTGACCACACCCCCTGTAGTACCCGTACAGACGTACCAATTAGCTCTATTCTTATTCTGTGGAAATTAATTTTGCACGCCAGTACAGCAGTGATAGTTTTTCATCACAAGATTGACATAAATCAAAAATGCACAAATACTCCGAGGCCACGTAAATTATGGTTTCTGTATTATATGCTACATGATATTTTATGCATGCATAATAATTATATCTTTTGACCAGTTTGTAAATTTGTCCACCCTTTTGAACCAAGTGTGTAAGTTTGTGCACATACATTATTAATGTTTAGTTCTATATACCCCTCCATAATGATCGTTGTATTATACACATTATTTACGGAGCAAATGTGGTATATAATTGGTTGGTAAAAATCACGGTCCTGTAAAGGAGTTAATACACATATTCGCCACTTATTACAACAATAAGACGGTATGTTAGTAGAGTCTCTTAGGGCGTAGAAGTGGTTCATGGCAAGTGAGGAGTCATTTCGATGAACCCAAAGTCAAATATGTCAGGCTGAAATCAGAAACACAATGTGTCACACATTAATACATGTCACGGACACTTAACAGTAACATAATGTACACCCTATCATTAGAAGGTAACTACACATACACTGCGTAAGAGAGACATGGTGAGAGGAAGAATGGAGGCATTTCAGTGCATGGCGGATCTAGGATTTTCAAAGGGGGTTCTGCTGTCCAGAACGTTTTCGACTGCGCTCGTGCGTGCGCACGAGGCTGGCGACGCATGCACGCAAAACGACAAAAAGGGGGGTTCCGCGGAACCAAAGAAACTCCCCTGGATCCGCACACTGTGACGCATGGGGTCCCTACCTGAGGATGAATTATTATGTGCTAGTTAGGTATCTGCTTGAGGCTAAACTGTGCATAATTTACTGCCCAAAATAGCATATTGTACACTTAGCAAACGTTTTGAGACTAGCCAAGGAGTATAAGCAATGAATAACTGAATCCACTTGTATACCTGTCCGAGGTGAGGATCAGTCAAACCACTCTTTGACCAGCTGAACGGAGACAGACCCTGCAAAACAATTATATTATAGACACACACTCAAGTTTTCAATCCATGGAGTCGAGATTAGATTAAGTAAAACTGCCGGTTGCACTGTCTTGTACAAACCTGGTGAGTTGGGCCATTTTCAGCCCAAGCGGTCGACTTCATAGCCATGAAATAGTCAGTCACCTATAGAGAGTAGTGTTACACCATCATATGTACAACTATGTTTTTTCACGATGTGGACAACACACTGTACGGTTTTTAATAGGCATTAAAATACTGGCATGGTTTACTAAACTTCACGGCCATAGTTAACAGTATAAAATAATAGTTAATAGTATAAGAAGCTGCTTGCTAAATGTCTTTTTTGCTAACCTTGGTGTCATAGCAACCGCCGGCTTCTGGTTTTTCCTGGAGGTCTCCACGGCTACAGATTGCATTCATGGGATCTTTCTCAGAGTACGGGTCAAGAGTGTAGTCTTTTGATGATAGAGACAAACATGTGGAGAGACAATTAATGTGTACTTATTAAGAATACGATACACAATGCAACTGTGCCACTGCAGGCACTTATATATAAACCTCTTAGCATTTGTGCATACTGTGAGACCTCTGAATAAGGCTTCATTCAGAGGTAGCAACTGTGCCACTGCAGGCACTTATATAAACCTCTTAGCATTTGTGCTACGTATGTATACTGTTAGACCTCTGAAAAAGGGACACCTTGGGGACATTGAAAGTGTCCTTTACTGAGAGGCTTCATTCAGAGGTAGTATAATAGACTATGCTTTACTGAGAGGCTTCATTCAGAGGTAGTATAATAGACTGCTTTACTGAGAGGCTTCATTCAGAGGTAGCAACTGTGCCACTGCAGGCACTTATATAAACCTCTTAGCATTTGTGCTACGTATGTATACTGTTAGACCTCTGAATAAGGGACACCTTGGGGACATTGAAAGTGTCCTTTACCGAGAGGCTTCATTCAGTATGAGGTAAGCAACTGTGCCACTGCAGGCACTTATTATAAACCAATCTTAGCATTTGTGCTACGTATGTATACTGTTAGACCTCTGAAAAAGGGACACCTTGGGGACATTGAAGTGTCCTTTACCGAGAGGCTTCATTCAGAGGTAGCAACTGTGCCACTGCAGGCACTTATATAAACCTCTTAGCATTTGTGCTACGTATGTATACTGTTAGACCTCTGAAAAAGGGACACCTTGGGGACATTGAAAGTGTCCTTTACTGAGAGGCTTCATTCAGAGGTAGCAACTGTGCCACTGCAGGCACTTATATAAACCTCTTAGCATTTGTGCTACGTATGTATACTGTTAGACCTCTGAAAAAGGGACACCTTGGGGACATTGAAAGTGTCCTTTACTGAGAGGCTTCATTCAGAGGTAGTATAATAGACTATGCTTTACTGAGAGGCTTCATTCAGAGGTATATAGTATAATAGACTATGCTTTACTGAGAGGCTTCATTCAGAGGTATATAGTATAATAGACTATGCTTTACTGAGAGGCTTCATTCAGAGGTAGTATAATAGACTATGCTTTACTGAGAGGCTTCATTCAGAGGTAGTATAATAGACTATGCTTTACTGAGAGGCTTCATTCAGAGGTATATAGTATAATAGACTGCTTTACTGAGAGGCTTCATTCAGAGGTAGTATAATAGACTATGCTTTACTGAGAGGCTTCATTCAGAGGTATATAGTATAATAGACTATGCTTTACTGAGAGGCTTCATTCAGAGGTATATAGTATAATAGACTATGCTTTACCGAGAGGCTTCATTCAGAGGTATATAGTATAATAGACTATGCTTTACTGAGAGGCTTCATTCAGAGGTAGTATAATAGACTATGCTTTACTGAGAGGCTTCATTCAGAGGTAGTATAATAGACTATGCTTTACTGAGAGGCTTCATTCAGAGGTATATAGTATAATAGACTATGCTTTACCGAGAGGCTTCATTCAAAGGTAGTATAATAGACTGCTTTACCGAGAGGCTTCATTCAGAGGTAGTATAATAGACTGCTTTACTGAGAGGCTTCATTCAGAGGTAGTATAATAGACTATGCTTACTGAGCGTCATTCAGAGGTATATATAGAATAGACTGCTTTACCGAGAGGCTTCATTCAGAGGTAGTATAATAGACTGCTTTACTGAGAGGCTTCATTCAGAGGTAGTATAATAGACTATGCTTTACTGAGAGGCTTCATTCAGAGGTATATAGTATAATAGATTATGCTTTACCGAGAGGCTTCATTCAGAGGTAGTATAATAGACTATGTGTTAGTGTGGGGCAAAACAAAGTGTCCTTATAGAGAGGTGTCCTTCACTCCTGAGGGTCCTGTTTGTTGTACATGTGGTACTAACCATTGTAGCGCATGATGTACTGCATCGAGGCCATGTCCTTCACATTTCCCTGATCTCTGCGAAAAATCTTCGCCCTCGGGCACAGCTGGTAGGTGGCGTCTGGTCCAACCTTCTCCGCCACCTCAGGGTAGCCGGACATGTTGTAGACCTTCTCAAAGAATGGGACGTTGTACGATGCCCAGTAGCCGTCGCGGAGAATTTCAGTCTCGTCGCCACTGCCAACGTATCTGATTTATGCAGGAAAGTAAGGCACAGTGAGAGGCAATTAGTATTCAAATCTTTTCATGTGAACCACCACTAAATGCTTTGATTGTGGAAGCAAAAAAATCGCGGTATTAATTTTTGAGAACCTGGAAGCTTTTTTTGACAGTAGGAATGGAGGTGGATGGAGAACACTTTTGATTGAGGAAATATGTACATACTCTGTTCGTTGGGCTCAGAACACTACTGGCCAAGCTATGCATTTCCCCCTGCATCACAGAGGTTTGGTGTGGTCGAACCACCCCGAACTCATTCGAAACTGCCCTGTAGGTCTGCTTCCAAAAGTAGCACACACTAAAGCAACAGTTTCCCCCAACTCATTTTGCCCTATAGCCAAAGGTTCTCAGCTACATAGCTCCAGTATAGTGCATACCCCGGTATCTGCTCCACGACCCAGAGGGCTCCGTCATCAATGGACCGATTGATGTGGACTCTGTTCAGGTCCAGTACCATGTACTGGTTGTTGTATGTACCTGAGTATGTGAGAGATATGTATTGTGTATATGTGCTACGTATATATGTGTGTGTGTGTGTAATGGATAGTGTAAGTGTGTATGTCTCAACAAGTTGGTAATGAGGTAGAAAGTAAAGGCAAGTCAACTACACCCAGGACAGCTCTTGAAACGCTGCCCTATAGGTGGCCAAGTGACCTGAGTTGAACTGTGCCAGAAGAAAGGCCCACTGTTCTCCGTCTGAGGCCAGCCAGTTGGACAGTCGCACTCTCTGCCAGGCCAGTAGGGCTTTTGGAGTGGCATAGTCATACAGAGTCATGTTGAACACATTGTTAGTCGTCTGCAGCATCACCAGCCCACTGTGGATCAGACACAGACATAGTGACTGGACATATTTATATGTCCGTGGCTTGCTAAGGGTTAATGAAACAATGTCTTATACTTCAGCAATGCAACAGACCTGCCTTCTACTTGATTTAATGTCACATGGACTAACATCCCTATACACATTATATGTACATCAAGAGACTTTGTCCCACATAACTTTAGGAGGTTCCACTGTACCTAATGGTACAGTTTCTCTACAGTAACTGTGTGATATAATGATCCCATTGACTGTGAACATACAGGACAAGAGGTAAGGAGGGGAACATCTGTTTCACATATTGAACTTATTGTCTTACTATATACGTACATTGTCAGTTGGGAGCGATGGAAGATTGTGGTCTGAGCGGCGTTTCATTTCACCCACATGTTACTTGAATCATAAGCGAGGTTTGAAAGCAAGGCAAATACAAACTCAACAACCGCCATACAACGCGAGCTGCACTCTGCGGGGAGACTCCGACACTGTTCTACAACAGCAGAGCCGCTCTACCCACTGAGCTGCTCAGAAGGCAGAGCTCTAAGTCAACACAGCAAAAGCAAAACCCAAATTACTTGTGGGACACAGAAACCAATACAAACGTGACTGTTTCTATTTCCCCCACCTGTCCATCACGTAGAAATCATCGAGTGACTCGAGAAAGCCAGGGTAGCTTGAAAATGACATCATTTTGGTTGGATATGCCCCTGCAATACAGATAGACAATTGACAATCAGTGGCTAGCTTACATATAATAGATCACGTGAAAAACCTTTTCTCACCTCCTGACATAGTGAAGTCATAGTATTTGTAGATACGGTACATGGATGAGTATGTGAACCAACTATTGGGGGGGAATATCATATTCCATATTCAAGTCACTATAGGTACACGGTGTAACTAATATGTCCTAAATCAAGGTACGTATATATACATAGCTGTAGAAGTTAGCAGTATTCAGTAGGCGACTCCAATGCATATGCCCTACTGGAGATGTGATTATTCATGGTGCTTGATGAAGCACATGGTAATGTATGTATATTATATGTGTGTATATACCTGGAGTGAGATGCGAAGACATTTTCAAAGCCAGGAAGGACTTTGATCAGAGCGGAACAGTGGCCATTTCTATAGAGCTGCACACAAACAAGCAAACATTGGTTTTACAAATAATTACGCTGAAGAAGACAACGAGAGTGCATCGAACCTCTACTACCCCGGTGGCTCAGTTGGTAGAGCACTCGCCTAGACTGCAGAGTGTCGTGGATTCGAATCCCACCCGGGGGCAGCCTTTTTTTTGCCTTAGTGCAGTACAAACAGAGAAAGAGTTTTCACCATTGACTTGAGCTGTGGGGGAGTGAGTTGTTGGACGTCTGGTCTTCTGCCACGGAACAGAAAGTTTGAAATGTCGATGAAGTCTCCCGCACCATTCAGTAGATCAAATGCAAAGATGTCCAGCTTCTGCGTAACACATGTGGTAGTATAGTTATAAACCGCTTCACTTACTCAAAACCTTCGCATTATTCAAAACAACACACCGTCTGACCGTAAATATTGTACACTCAGTCGAGGCAGCATATACACTTACAGTATACAGCTGATAGAAAGCAAACATTTTTACCCACGCCTTGCATCTTTCTGTAAGCATGAAGCAAAAACCAACCACTGTTTACCCCAGCCACAAGCACAAAATACACTGCGGGATGCACCATTACACACAGTTTACAAACGGAGCTATATACTGCATCGGTGCCATAGAATCATTGACTTATTACAAAGCATCTTACATTGACCTATTGCAACTCGTGCAGGCATGCAGTAAACTCCACTAACTCACGTACATGATCGTCATCGGCAGCAGCATTGTAGCCTTCCATGAGGCCCTGGAACTGGCTGTAGATGAGGCCCACAGTGTACCAGAACTCCGAGTCGTTGCTTATCCTGTCCTCCATCCACTGTCTCTACAGTCAAGCATACATACATACAGATCTTTATTAATTAAGGTGCAGCACCCTTCTCTCAATTGGCTCTGCATTTACACACACACAGTAATTTTTTCATACTTAAACAGTGGCCATAGCACCAGGGCCTTTAAAAAGTTTTTCGTAAAAAGCAACGTGCATGAAATTTATGTAAACCCCCACACTACTAACTTGCGTCTGGAAGTAGTCCATGACTTGTTGGATCTCCTGCTGAGTGTAGGAGGAGAGCAGTACTTGGTAGAGGTTCTGATACTGGTACCAAATCTGACTGTTTGGAAGAGAGAAAAACCTCCCGTCAATTCGCATTATATTGTTGTGCTTGGTCTCATTTTTGTGGAGATTTTAGAGCTGGTTCTTAAACCCAATGCACAGAGAGTAGAAAGCCCCGTTTTAATATGGACAAAAACTGCAAGTACCATTATGTATGTAATGCCGTATATAAGTAGCTGTACTAAGTTAGGATACTGTTCCCATTTGCCCTTGAAGAATGCAGATTGTGTGCACATCCTTTAGGAAAATGCTTTGTCACATTCTCTATAAGAACACTGCTGGATCATCACTATTGCAGGCCTGAGTTCAGTGCCTTAATAAAGCATGCAGATTTTCATGCACCAATAACAAGCAAAAGACAGCGTTAATAATGGGCCAGCAAGCATTAAGACAAACGAGTATGAGTGTGGATGACTTTCCCCGAGTATGAGTGGGGTGTCCGTGTTAGAACTTGGAGGCCAGACTTACACTTGTGTGAGATACCCTTCTGCATATCCTGCCCCTCTCATGAGATCATGGTCGCTGTACTGCTGAGTGGAGCCGGTCACAATCCTCAGTATATCCCACCTTGACACACATACACAGGTGGGGGGGGAATAATATCTAATATCTGTTGGAGTTGTTGCATGCCTACGAACCCTGTGCTGTTTTGAGAATGGTTGAAGTATCCAGTAGCTGCTCCGTTATCACTATCCACTACACCCTTCACCAGACGGATACTCTTACTGTCGAGCATAATTATTGAACATTATGTGTGCAAAAGAAAACGTACTCAGCCGGTGAGATGTAGACGGTAGCGCTCATGGCGACTGCAGTTGCACACACCGCTAACAAGGTTGACAGAAGCAGTAGCGACTTCATGATAACGGTTCCCCTCCCGGCAGCAGCTAGATCCTCGTCGATCGTCTGCAGGTTTTATCATGTGATATCGAAGCAGTTAAGAGCGCAGGGCGCTAACGTTGTCGCCAAAGCAACCGATATACAAAAACCCGTCGCTCCACACTTCTTGCATGCGAAGATCGCCGTTTCTCGTGGTTTTCCGACAGAATTATAGAAACCATGTCGACTAAGCCGAGTTCTAAAGCAGCCAAACACTCAGCGCAAGGTAAATCAAACGCCCCATAAAATAACGGCTGAGTTAGGAGTAGGTGCGCTTCAATTAGGATGTATCTGCCTCAGGTCATGGTGGTAAGAAGGGGGAAACCACAGACCCACACATCAGTAGAGGAGGTGATGCATCATCCCCTACTGGGTCTATGATGAGTGGAGCAGGAGAGGGTGGAAGTATTACAGTTCACCCTCTTGATGCCGTACTAACCGGAGACGAGATACAAGCTCTTAGGATCACCGATGAAAAGCTGCAAAAGGTGTGCGCCCATCTAAGGTGCCAGTGTACTGAGTCCATACAGGCTGAAATATGTCTTGCCTGTAGTTCAAATGTGTATTTCACAGTTAAAAATCTACAAAACTTTTGCTTGCCTATAACAGTAGCACAGGAAGATGATTTTATAATTGTTGGACGTTCAAATGCACCCATGAAAAAAATGTGTGGCTTTAGTTGTCATCAATTGGTACGATTTGGGTTTTAGCACTTGTGCTACAAGCGCTCGCCTACACTGCATGCTTGCTACTATAAGGTCTGAAATTTTTACATGTGAACCATCACTCTGCAAACCTATATAATAATCTCCAAATCTGGAGCATAGTTTAGAATGACAACACCGTCTACATCAAGCTTAATCATGCATACTTTTTTGCAGCTTCGTTCCCCTGTAGAATCTCCTGCCTCGTCCCACCATCTTCCTCCAAAGCAAGTGATGGTGAGGAGAACAGGGGCTCCTGCCGACTTGCAGTCCAGGAAGAAAAGGTTGAAGTTGTTAGGGTATGGCTTAGTCAGCTGCATGAACTCCGAGTGTGTTGGGTAGCTGAATAAGGAGAGTAGAATGCAAGATCGTCAACTGGGGTGCTTGGGTAGCTCAGTCAGTAGAGCATGATGCTTCAGATGTAAGAGTGCCAAGGATCGAATCCTGCCACCAGGCAACTTTTATCTGAACAAAAATAGCTTGAATACAATGACTTGCATGATGCCAAGTGTGTTGGGTAGCTCAATAAGGAGAGTAGAATGCAAGATCGTTAACTGGGGTGCTTGGGTAGCTCAGTCAGTAGAGCATGATGCTTCAGATGCAAGAGTGCCAAGGATCGAATCCTGCCACCAGGCAACTTTTATCTGAACAAAAATAGCTTGAATACAATGGCTTGGATGATGCCAAGTGTGTTGGGTAGCTCAATAAGGAGAGTAGAATGCAAGATCGTTAACTGGGGTGCTTGGGTAGCTCAGTCAGTAGAGCATGATGCTTCAGATGCAAGAGTGCCAAGGATCGAATCCTGCCACCAGGCAACTTTTATCTGAAAAAAAATAGCTTGAATACAATGACTTGGGTCACTGAATTCAAGAATTGGGAAAATGTCTACACAACAATCAGACATGTGGCTACAATGGCTTCACTCATAGGAGAGTGCATGGCTATCGCTATTCAACATGGCTTCCTGGAAATCAACCAAGACCTTGCAAAAATGCAATTGGTGGTGGAAGGTATTTGTATATAGCATGGTAGTGAAAGGGCCTGTTTGTGAAGCCATACATTTACAACTGGTGTAGAGAGCAAGGTGACCGACCGTGTACTGAATCCCTCCAGAGTGGCAGTGCTGCATCCAGTGCCAGCTGGTGTCAGTCCACAGGCCACGAGGACCCTCCAACTCGGGCAGAGAGTAAAACGAGGCGACCTCTCTCCACACCCCATCCTGGGCAACATTGGAGAGCACAGCACTAAACCAAAGGTGATTTCTCTAACCTGTTCGTGTGCTTGTACACTGTCAGAGGTCAAATGAATGATGTTTGAAACGCGTACTTTCGGAATGAACAATGAACCAAAAGCCTCCAAATGTTGCATGCAAATAATAGAGCACAAAGTGTACAGGACTCACATGTTAAAAAGGAATATACATGAGGGGTCACGGACAGTATCACTTGTGCAGGAAGAGCGTCTGCCACCCCCAACAGAACCCCATCCTTCTCCCCGACACGCCATTTCCTACCAGGACACCATTGTGGTAAGTTGTTTCGTGGTCGGCCTCATTTTACCATATTTAGAATCAACATCCATGAACATCCGTTTTCTTTACATAACAGCGAATGGCAAATGCAAGTTTCGTCGAATGTCATGTGTTGTTGTCCACAGCCCAGGGAGACACACGCTCTGCAGTACTGGGAGGAGGCGATGGAGGACAGGAAACTGCAGCAAGACCACCTCTCCAGAAAGTTCCGGAAGTCTCCGGAGAGACTGGCCATGAACCAGGGTGATGGCTACAGACCAAAGCAAGAACAGAGGCAGGCAATTTGGATGGAGTCATTAGATCTCTAATGCGAGTGTGATCTTTTGGTTGCAGGATGCAGATTGATCATGCCATACCACCACTGGACTATGGGAAAGGATGTACGTATGTAATTATATGCCAAACGGAGGTTGCAAATTGCTCTATATTATGTCTCAGATCGTGTCGGAAGTGAATTCTGGAGTCAGTCTGTCCCTATTGGGAATGCTGAGACTGGAATCAAGTGAGCGTTAAATCCTGGTTCTGCCAGTCAGCAGAGGATGAGCTGTGGCTAATTCAGAAACAATCCATTATTATGCATGCGGCTTCATTACTAGGTTCACAATATGCCGCGTTGCCCTGTCGCGCTGTGCCCCATTGCGCAAAGATAGAAATGGGATTCTATCCTCGTGACACGGCAATGCAGCACAGAGCGATGGGGCAATGCGACATACGTGTTGTGAACCTAGCCTAAAGCCATAGTGCAGAATATTGGCCAAGACAGAAGTGCCGTGGGTTTGAGACCTACCAGGGAGAGCTCTTTTTAGTGCTGTTTTGGGTTAAGCACTTGTCAGTCGGTAGGCTAGGACTATAGGGCTAGTGGGGATTGTAAACTGCTGACCATTTTTCTCCGCCCTACAGCACGACTCTAACTCGCAGTGAAAAGGGTCAGCCCCTTCCTCTAGAACTCATTGGAACACCACAAACTGTTGGAGTAGAAAAAGGTGGGTCATGCATACGTAGTATGTACATACATACATACATATGCGCATGCGTGCGTACATACATACATACGTACATACACGATATGTCTTGATATGTATACAGGCTTGGTGAATGCTGAGAAGAACGCCACACTGTGCCACACATGGCAGACCACTCCTTACCTGTTGTCACGAAGCCAGCAACTCCAGTCAACTCTCACCCTTACAGCTCCTGAAATCACACCTGTATGTGACTAAATCACTACGTTCCAAGTTCATTAACCCTAATCGTCACACACGCACAGCGGGGGTTACAGTAGTTGGCTGCAGTGTCCTGAGTACATGTGAAATGACGAACCAATAGCAGGCGGGTGGGTGGAATATATAGCAACGCTCACTGTGCCTACCATTACGTATACTATTTCGGCCATATTAGTGTAAGAACCTACGTAGTTCACCTCCTACCATTATTGAAAGGGAATGTAGCAGTAATTACAAGGGCTAAATTTAGACACATTTTACTAAGAGCGGAAACTTACTGGCATTCTTGCACTGGTGCCCTTTTGTTAAGTAAATATACCACTCCTAAATTTTACCCTTGTACTGACACCCGCACTCATTTTTAGGACATGGAAGAGTTGGAGGTGATAGGACGCACACCCCACCCTTCTCCCTTTGTCCCCCATGACACCAGTCTGGACTCACTGGGGGAAGAAGAGACCTACAGCTGAAGACAGTCTGAGTGGGAACGAAGACTTCGCTCATCCTTCCAACCGGTCAGTTGCGGAAATCTCAGTAGCATGTTTTTTCAGATGAGACTTGAGCAACCCGTTTATACTGGGACATAATAGTTCAAGCTGAGCTGCTAGAAACGGGATTTTTAGGTTGTGTTGTGTTGTGTTGCTTTTCCCTAGGATGGTGTCGCAGGATGTGGTACCAGAGATGTTTCCCCAGTCTCTGGAGGGCCCGGCACTAAACATCAGGGACCACCTCCTCAAGTGGGAGAAATCTCACGTACAAACCAGTCAAACTCGCTCGGAACCAGTTGAATTCAGGCTGATGTTTGAATCGGGCGTGGAGGAGGAGGAGGTGACGTCTTGTCTTCCGATGGAGAATTGTGGAACCACTGCCATCTACTACTCTTGGAAGGTATATTATCATACTGTACACGTAGTGGCAATTTCAGGGAGAATCGGACCACCTGTACGGAGGGACGACGGAGTAAGTGAAAGATTTCCCTCTGTCTGCTACTAAATGGTGACATTTTTTGCCCTCTGCAAAAAGTGTGTTTTCGGCTGTGTGCAATTGGTGTTTGTTGCAGTGTAGATGTCAACATTGATGCTGTATGTCAATGTCAACAGTGTCTGTCTATCTGAATGGTGTTTGTTGCAGTGTAGATGTCAACATTGATGCTGTGTATGTCATGTCAACATCATGTCTATCTGAATGGTGTTTGTTGTGTACAGCGTTTCGTGCAGCCGAACCCACTTCAGACAGTGCAGGCTGGGGACGTACAGCGATTCTATTTCGACACGAGAGGAGGCAAGTTACATGTAGCTAATTAAGGTTAGATTATCCCTTGCAAACACCATGGCATGTACGCAATCTTTTCCCAACAATAACATTTACACTTCATTTGTGCACACGTGTGTTGTGGACGTGCGTGTACGTGTGTGTTCTTGGGCTGTTTGATTTGTGTGTGTGTTTGTGTGTTTGTGATTGGGGAAAGAAGGAAGAGAGGTAAAGTGTTGGCAGGACTAAAGCTAGCGAGAGAGGGTGGGCAGCTTTTGTCGGCGTCACCGCATGCAGCCAACCAGGTGCTTAAATGTACATGTAAACCTATCCACAAACTTCCCATGTTGTTAATTAGTGTGTGTGTGTTTGTGTGTTTCAGGTGTGTTGCTGCCAGGACAAGTGCAGTCCTTTCCATTCGTCTTCAAGTCAACCAACGCTGGCATCTTCACCGAGGTGTGGGCTCTGCAGACGTGCCCGCTCTTGGCCGGAGGACAGACCATCAGGATCACACTGAGGGGTGTCGCTTTTCAAGAAGATACCAACAAACACAAGAGGGAAGATCTTGAAGTAAGAACTGCAGACAAGAATGTGGAAACATTCTTTCGGGGTGTGTGGATTCGCGTTTAGAATGGCCCACACAAAAGTAGTTATACCTTGAAAACAGAGAAGTTACACAATCCCATTCAAACGTTTTTACGATAGTCGATAGTGTAACAGGCGTGTATCCTCATTATTGTTGGTTTTTGCTCACACAATTACTGCCATTACACAAGATCATACGTAGGTTTCTGTAGTACAGTGCCCTAGAAAGGTTCTGGTCAGACACTAATTATGAAGATTTTAGTTAGTGGCAATTTTGGGGAAAACTTGTCACTAGGCAATAACATTTCACCTACGTTTGGACCTTCATAACACACAGCAGATTTCACTCTCCATTACTGTCCACACACACAGAGAGAGTTGAGTCACAGAGTGGCAGTCGTGGCAGCCGAGAGACTCGTCAAACAGATTGTCAACAGCATTGCCACACCTCCACACAGCTCCCCACAACTCCTGGACACCCTTCCCGTCAGTATTATCATTATATGTACGTACATTAGGAACTGCTGGACATACTCTTCCAGTTACCAATGTTTTGTTGCACTGTCCCATGCATGTGTGTGGGTTACTTTAACAGCACCATTCAGACCATTTTGAGGCTAGGTTCACAATACGTCACGTTGCTCTGTCGCCCTGTGCTGTGAAGATTCTATCCTCGCATAACGCGGCACAGCACAACGGGACAATGCGACCCAACATATTTCTTCCACCCACAGGAAGAGGATGTGTTCAGGAGTCAAAATCCACATGTAAGTAAATTATATATGATGGGCCTAACACCAGCATAGGTATATATTATTTGCTTTCAAGTTGTAGACATGATACCAAAAACCCCCCCGAAAATGTTCCCCAAACATTTCATTCTAGTACTCCCAGCAGAATAACATGTGAATTAAAATCGAAACATTTCGCACAAGTGTTACACGAACACAATCGGCTAGTGAATGTGGCCAGCAACTATTTGATTCGTGCTGGTTTTTTTGCGGTGAAATTTCTTAGTCGTACAGTACGTTGTTTCCTGGTGTATGTAGAGACAAAACTGATTTCTTTTGCCCACAGCTCTACTACCATTACAACGTGGTACTGCAGTTGAAGGCACTCTATGACGAGATCCTCCGTCCAGAGCTAACAGAAGACGAAAACCCTCCGCCATCGGTCGACAGTGGACCCTCAAAGAAAGAGAAAGGGAAGCAGGCACCAGCGGGAGGAGGAGGTGGGAAGAAAGAGAAGGAGAAAGAGCGAGGGGAGAGCAGCGGGCAAGACAAAAAGGGGAAGACAGTGAAAACAGAACCCTCGGAAAAAGTAGAAAGTAAGAATAAAACTCGTTACATTTAAATGACTTTATATACTCTGAATATGCAGTCCCCGAGTCACCCAAACCAGTGGAGAAGCCTGTCCCTGACTGGGATCTGTCCACACATACCCTGCTAGAGGTATGTACGTAAGCAACTATGTACAACTAGGCTGATGCAGAATTGGTGCTTAAACTGTTGCAATGTGTTTGTGCATCCCTTTACACCATTACTTGACCGTGGGTGTTCAGAGGCACCAAGGAACACAACACCACAATAATTCATCTTTGCAGGTGGTGTTGGGTATAGAGGAGGACCAGAGAAGAGAAGAGAAACTGAAGTTGTTGAGTGACTTGCTGGGAGAACTGTCTTTTCCTCCTCCATCTCTTCCCCGCACATCTTCCTACTCTCTAGTGTATGTATATATAGAAATATTTTCGGGGGAGAAGAGTTTTTCAGGAATACGTATGTAAATAATTCTGGTAAGGCATCATTTGCACCAGCATTCTTAGTTTTTATCACTGCCGCCAATGTATTGCTTGATGATGCATAGTTAAACTGTTCAAAACTTTGAGTTTCTTGGAGAACTGGGTATCTTGATGACTGAGTGAGCAGTGCGTTACAGCTGCAAATCAGCACCGAACAGTCTCATTGCATGTGAAGACGATACATTTCTCTGCACTTGGTTATTATACGCTTTCACACAAACTGAGCAAAAAAACTGCACGAATTAAACAACCCTCTAATTATTAACGGTATTCTACAGCTACCAGTTGGTGAGTGAGGCGGTGGAGCAGGTGTCCGTCTCTTCACAGCGTCTCTGTAAGGCGATGGGGCTACCCCAGAGGGAGAGCTGTCCGACCAAGAGCTCTTTGACTGCCGCTGACGACGACCAGCTCCCTGGGAACACCTCTTCCTCAGGTCATTGAAAAAATGTATATACCTTTGAGGTTTTTAGTGGGTATTTGAATCGGCCTTAGTGGGTATTTCATTTTAGTGAATCGGCCTATATATTATGGCAACTCTTTATAATAATACGTACGTAAGTAGAAGTCTAGCCTAGGTAGTGCATGCATGTGTAGAGTCAATGCAATTACGCACACTCGCACACGGCAAAAATAACTGCAAAATCGCTAAAATTTGTATATCCACCATAAAATGTTAATTCTGACATATAATTATCTCAGAATCTACCATAGTTTTGTGGTTTGCACAAGCAAGGGGACAATCCAGTTCACTCATCAGCACACGTGTATTTACCCCCCCGTCCCCAAGGTCAAGTACCAAAGAATGCAACGGTTTTTAGGGGGCTTTTATGGGAACATAACATGGAGTGGTTGGTATTTGTAATAACTGTGACGTTTTTTTAATTCACGCACTTACTGTACTCACCGTCAGTCACCACCCCCTATTTTACTGAGCATGGCCAGAGAGAGCTGGGTCTGAGCCGCTTGAAAGTGTCACAGATTAAACACGCAACCAACTTGAAATTCCGCAGCCGCTGTGACAAATAAGAAGAGAAAGAGAAGGAGAAGAAAGGAAAAACCAGAACTCAAAGACTGGTGCTGAAAGGACAAGGAAGATGATATTGCCATTTGGTACTCGTGATCTCATCCACAGCATTAACAAATCCTTCCCACGTTCCTAGTAAGAGAAAGTGTCTCTGCCAGAAATCTAAAGCCCTTCAGGTAAAATACGTGGCAAATCCCTGAAAATTTCACACTTGCTCGCTCAAAATGCATTGCTATATACTTTTTATGTAATGCTCTCTCTCTCCTCTCTCCTCTTCATATTATCCTCCGAGTGAGCATACGGACACCGACACGGCGTCAGAGGCACGTCATTACATAACTCAGATGCTTTATTCAAACTGTTATATATGCATAGATCCCGAGCAGAGCAACCCTTTGTGCAACCAGTTTCAGCAGGTTGACCCTCTGGTAGAGGGAGTACAGAAAACTTTATGCCTCCGTAAGTCTATTTTACTGCAGGCAGATAATATGTTCTATTGTGGGCTTATAATACATCACAGTTTATGCATTCTGGTGCTACCGTGCGAGAAGATGGTATGGACACTACCAGAACAAGAGTTGTAGAACTCGCAGATTACAACATTCACTAATGCCACACACATACATACGTGTAATCAAACTATAGCGGCAACATTACAGCATAAGACCCAGACATGTGAAAATTGAGAAACGCTATTAGTGATCCGTTGTGGATGACATCTATTAACAATACTGCAACGTGTACTTTATACACCACACCAACTACTGCGGGAAATTCATGAGAGTTGTAAACAAGCTACTGTCGCTCAACGTTCAAGCAGTCGAACATCGTCTTTGGTCTCAGGATAACAGAGGAATGAGCTCAGCTCTTCCCATCGTCACCCTCCAGCGATACCTGAAATCGCTGCATGAGAGTGGCTATTATAACAACACTTCGAGAAGCGCATTACCTCGTCGTGATGCTGGAGGCGAATCTGCACCCTATGCAGTTTGCGAGAGACCGGCAGCAGGAAAATGGCAGAAAGCGAAACGGATCTCGCCTGTCGACCGCATTGGGACTAACCACAACGATCAGCGTCTTCTGGGTGCTCCATATGTCTGGATGGTGGTGAATGGAATACAGTGGATTCCAACTAGCACTCACTTTTGGGATGTTTGGCCACACACATCTGTGTCTTCGCCAGCCTCTCGCATTATTGTTATGGCACTGGTTGGGTAATACGCAATGCCTCTTTGATTCACACATTTGTACTGCAACTCCTTGATGTCTCTATTCTACAGGTCAGGCCGTCCAAAAAACGATTCACCTCTTCTCGTATCTTTTGCTGGTGCTCTGGGTTTTTGCGAGACATAAAGGTCCGCTTATGCCATTGGCAGTTGTGTCGTGCCCTTCATAACATGAATGTTCCACTTCATCAAACTTTCTAGATCAGAGAGCCGATTCCTCCTCGTCTTAGGAAGAGACAAAATGTGAGAAGTCAAGATAACGGCTTGCTTTGCCACTGCAGTGAAGACCTCCTGCGTTCTATCTTGCATTCCGTGACGTCCAATTCAGTCTTTGCGCCGTTCTTGAATGATTCTCTCTGCATGCTTTGAACAGTTGCACAGGTTTTTGTAATCCGTCTGGCCTGCTGGTGTGGAGGCTGTAACAACCCTCCAACATATAGAGCGGGTTCAAACGCGGTCAATATAAGTCCGCAGAGTTCCTGGACGGCACTGACGGTAAGGATGCTGCTTGCTCTCCGACTTCCTGGACACATGCTTTTGTAGCTGAACGCACACTTCAGTATATATCAGGATAGATAGGCTCATAGTTGGGAAACGGGGAAAAAGATCGCCAGCGTGCCGTTTTTCTGTCCACTTGTTGACCAGCGTTTTGCCGCATTCGTTGTAGAACCAAACGTAAGGTTCAAGATGCTGAAGTGGAAACCCGGCGTAAGGAGTCGCCGGTTTCGAGCCCACTTATCTCCCTCGGTAAGCAGGAGCCCATCGCCGAGCCGGTGAGCAAGATCCCGTGAACCATCTCGATTTCGGTGTCTTGAGTACCTGCCTCGCGGCCTCGGATGGTGATGTTGATGATCAGTTTGTAACGGTCCAAGCCACGACCGAGTCACCTTGTGACGCTCCGGGCCGCGATGTAGTCGCTAAACTTAAAGACGAGTTCTCATGTGGAAGTTATTGGGTAGGTTCCTCGAGAAAGGGCCATTCGCGGGCCAGCCGGGGAAGAGCTTCGCTAGGCGCATTTGCGACGGGTGTCCCAAGCGCGGGAGAAGTTTTCCACACAGCGCCGTCACAAGCAACATGAAAGACCTAGGAGAAACATTCTACACATGCCAAATGAGGTAGACCATCGATACCATGTGACCATATATAGTTAGTTGGGCGGGCCGGCCAGAGATGTTGTCCGCGCATGCGCGCGGGCAGAGACACAAGCAGCTATACCTACAGCCAAACCTGCTAGCTATATACATAACACGGAATATACATTCATCAGAAAGTAATAGAGCGCCATGTTTGCAATAATCTTGGAAGTACCATCTGTCACAAGCTGTAAAAAGGATAGCCCAATGGCCCAAGATTTGGTTTTCTCTCAGCCCAAATATTCCGCTGTTTCTGTAAAATGAGTTCCTTGATCGTTTGTACGCACACTCTGGTGGCGGGAGGGCTTGGACTGCCCGCCAAACTCCTTAATCTTTTTTTTCCCCAGCCGTACTGGCACGACGAAATAATCGGAACTCGTACTTTTCCTCGGGCGTTCAGCATCTCCGTTTCCGTAGGTACGGGCGTTCCTCCCTCACCGTGCGCACGATCACGCTGGTAGACAACGTGCGAGTGCCGGCATAGTGGGTCGCATGTCAGGGGGGTTTCCGGCCGATTCCTCTGAGATGGTCGTATCACTGCCGTCGCTCGCTGCTGGTCCAGCCGCCCCTCTGCCACGCTTCTCGCTCTCCAGACGGGAATTCGCTCGTACCGCTGTTCCCGTCGGTACGGGCCGCTGTGTCGGCTGGTTTAGCAGCGCGGTGGTTTGACGGAGTCCCTGCGGCAGATTCTCGCCTAGGAGAACATCTTCGAGTAGCGCTGTGCCAGGAGAAGCGAAGCGCGGCTTCTCTGCTGAGCTCTCCTCCAGAAGTCTGAGTTGAGTGTCCAATACATTTAGCCATGACTTGCAGCACTAGCCCGATCGAGTATAGTACTCTCCGCCAGAAAAGTATTGAAGCGCTGCGCGCGCTGCTGTCGCGTCGCGCGAGATAAAAATGGGCGGGGCTCTTACCGCTCTGACCGGCAAGACAACTTATTGTTGGGGTAAAAGACCGCGTTTGAGAGTAATGCTACGGTAGCGTTTCAACGAACTGCAGAGGACAGCAAAACATGTTTCCTCTTTCTTTGCTCAACAACAGACAGTGAATAT